AGAAAAGGTGGGCATTCGTCTGCACAACCCCCCTCTGTGTGCCCAAAAACAATTTGTGCAAGCGCTAAAGCTTCCCTGGCCCACCCCTCATACAAACCGCATCGTGAGTAATCTCGATGGTCGGATGAGTGGACAAACAAACATGTGATCGTGGTGAACCCGATTTCCGGTCTCACGATGAAATCGGTTTTAGTAATCTGTTTTTATTTTATTTTATTTTCCCATGACAATTTTATTCCCAAGTAGTGATATATATATTGAGATGTATTGGCATGAATACGAATCTCTGAAAACGAGCTTGTTCGCCACTCTGTTGTTTTGTTTGAAATGTGCTCTGTGGGATTATTTCAACAACTTTCTGTATCATCTATATGTGACTAAACCGGACTACTGACGTACCGTCACAGTTTTTAGGTTTATGCATCTGACCAATAAAGGTGCAATTGTTTCTTCAATTAATCCTGAAACAGAGTCAGTCTGGAACAATAAGAGTGCTTCGGAATGGCGATTTGGCCAACTGGAACCACAAATCCCGGATGCCTGGTCCCCTGGAGTTTACCTGCATTCAGGTCTTAGTACAGATTGGTACTCCGTACCTATCTACACAGAATCCGGATGTCAAACCAGTGGTCAAAGCCACTGGTCCACAGATGCGAACTCCAATTCACCGAGACGAATCACCACGCGATTGTGCCATTCCGAAGAGGGAGATGATGAAAACGGGGTGTACCAGTCGTGCTTCGCGGATTCCGATCCACTGGATGATCCGCATACAAACCCCGTGGAACGGAAAGGACCACAACCGGAGGACAGTGAATCGAATCGCACAACTAAACGAGCCCGAACTGCCTATACACAAACCCAATTGATTGAACTAGAGAAAGAATTCTGGTACAGTCAATACTTGTGTCGTCCACGTCGAATCGAAATCGCGGCAGCTTTAAATTTGTCCGAGAAACAGATCAAAGTGAGTCCAATCGATGCGAACCAAACGATATTCAATCACAATTGGCTTCATTGTCTCATATACTGCATTGTCTGACAGTGCCTAGCCGGATGGAGGAGCGGTGCTCCTGATCGAAATTATTTTCGTATTCTGGCGGACAAACATTACTATCAGAACTGTGCGTGGTAGAGACCCACAACACGAAATTTCAGCTGGAAAACTGAGCTCGTACTTCTAAGCCACACGGTTGACGGTTCCACACTGAGTAAATGATGATAATGATGATAATTTTCAATATCTTCTTTGGTTTGGCTCAGGTAACTTCTAAAGTGATGGGCATTGGACGCGTTGTGAACATCAATATAGAATACAAGTGAAATTCAATAGGTTCAGTCAAATAGGAGATAACAGGATGAATGAACCAGATGAAAACTTTGCAGAACTACAGAAAACCCTTTAAATCTGGTATTTGGAAGAGCGGGTTACATAAGATTCATATAGAAAAAACAACGGAATGAAATGATGGGGAGCAATGACAAACAGGTTCTGGAAGGAAACAGAAGTACAGTTCTACTGCAATTCATGGTGTCCGAGTACCAAACTACGATGTCTAGATATCATTTCAGGTTGTCTCATCATTAATTTACGCTGTCCGGTTGACCATAGCTGCTAAGACCATGTGCCGTTTCGGTTCCATAGCAGTGTTTGGACGATCAGAATTCAGCACAAATCACTCAGTCTCTTGTTGAAGTTTGAGAGGAGACTGTGTTACGATCTGGCTCAGTCACACATACCCGAATCCAATGTCATCTCGACCGTTTACACTCCACATGCATTAAGTCGTATGCGTACTCGACTGTAAATGTATATGTATGTCAGTGAGCCCCCTCCCTCTCCCTGAGCAGTCAGATCAAATCAGTCAGATCCGCTGACACTGATGGATGCTGCTCGAACGATATACTCCTCATATTTATCTCGGTTTGCCTCCAGTTAGTGTGCAACTCGTAGATTACATCCATCTCTCCATTACCATCCTCGAAGCACAAACAAGATTTCCACTGAGCAATAAAAATGACCATTTTGACCATTTATCCGGAACGGAAAAAGATACCTCTATAAAATCAACTGGGATTGAACGGAGCCAAGCGAGTTAAACCAGCTTCTCACGTAACAAATTTGAAAAGAGAGGCCAGTATAGCAACAGTTCACGATTTATGTCCTGAACGATTTTGCTACACCTCACCTGGTTCCTAGTGCAAACTGATATAATGTTTATAAAGGGTTTGGGTATGGATTACAAAATTAACAATTGTAAATGGGGAGAGGCCTCACCAAGGCAAAGTCAAGGTGATGAACAAGTTTTTTGTTGATACAGTATTGGTTTCCATCGCTTGATTGCAGTTGCCTGGGCGATTTTGAGCATTCTGGTGTCATGATTATTAGTAGAAATCACTCGAAATGCCTTCTCCCTATCCACGTGGTGTTGCGTCAACAATAAGTGTTTGGCAATTGATGAAATTGGTGTTTTGTTATCACAGTCCTTACCGATTATCGGTTGTGTGGACTTTGACCTGGCAACCATGTGTTGAACTCAGTTCGGCACATGTTCTAAAACCCGATTACGAGAAAGGAGAGTTGTCATAATTATATCATATTATAGTTGAGAAATTTGATAGGAAATCCCGAATTCAAGTTTTTTCGCAAACTTTTGAGAACTTGCAGATGTCGTAGAGGAAGAAGAGAGAAAATTTTCACAAGAAAAGTGAAACTAGTTTTTCCAAATATCTCTACACAACGCAGGCTTTTGGGGTTCATAATCATCGTTCATTTAATGACGTTTACACGTAGCTGTGGGTTACCAAACTCCTCGCTATTCCAGCACATTTTCCATATACTGCATCAACCAAACCCTCACAGGTAATATAAAGGATGGATCTTCTGCAGGTATAACTGTGTATCGATTGTCCATATTTGGTTTCGAGAAACATTTTAGTGTTTGAACTCTGGATTTCTTATCAAATTACGTAATTAGCATAGGATTTAATTTTGACAACTCTCTTTACACCGTTTCAATCCCAGTTGGTGTGATAGAGATATATATTTCCATTCCGGATACATGGTGACTATGGTCATTTTTATTGTTCAGCAATTGAAGGGTAGAAATCCTGTTTGTGTTTCAACGGTGGTAACGCAGAGATGGAGTATAGTCTGCAAGCTGCACACTAATTGGAGCATGATCCACCGGTATCAGCGGAACGTGATCTGACTGTTCAGGGAAGGGGGACTCACAGAAACACAGGTGTACATTTACAGTCGGGTAGGCGTACGATTTAATGCACGTGTATTGCAAACGGCTGAAATATATCATGGGCCTGATCCAGATCGTAACACCGTCTCCTTTCGCTCCTTAATAAGAGACTGAGTAATCTGTGCTAAATTTTGACCATTCAGACATTGTTATGAGGCTTGGACAATACTTGGCCTTGTTTCCCAATTCCCTTTTCTCGCTTCAACTAATAGCTTGTGATACTTGATAGAATTGAATTCACCTGCCAGTTTCACTTCACCGTGCTTCGTTTTTCAATCCGGCCTACACACACGCGAAAGTCAGTGACGAAATATGAGTTCGTTCGGCACGATATACACACAACTCACGCAAGTCAAATTCACGGATTCTGTTCCACATGTGATTGCGGTACAGTATATCTGAGGATGAACGCCCACAGATCAACTGATTGACTGGGTGATTTTCGGACGTCCATTTCCAGATATACTCTATGTAGAAAACGAGATGAATACATGGTTTAAGATTCGTTGGACACATATCAATCGAAGCTCAATATATTCCATTTAATATGGGAGGTGCAGTATATAATTAGTCATGTAATAGAGCTTTCAAATCCAATTCATTGACAGGCAGGATTGGTGTGAAATTAATCTGAACAAGGTGGCAGTTCAGGTTGAGGAGCAATTCTGAATTTAACTCTCAGCTACTTGTGAGTAGTGATATGGGATAAATGATTTTCATTTAGACTGACCGTCCATTCGACTCTATTCCGAAGCACAATCCTCAATTGATCCAAACAACCATTTACTTGAGAAGCACTAGACTCGGGTTTCGCTCTTCTCAGAGCTCCTAAGTACTGCATATCTACCGTCCCGCCTGGGTTTTAAACCCGGGACTCAGCAACCTCGCTGATTTTAATCTATGCCACGTTCACCATTCTTCATGTACTCAACATTGACCTTGAAGAAAAATAGTAATAAAGTTGAGAACCTCGTTGTTCCGTATTTAAAGCAATGCTCACTAACGGAGAAATAAAAAGAAATTATTTTTCTCGTCTGATCCCCATTCGACTTATCCAGGTATGGTTTCAGAATCGTCGGATGAAATTCAAGCGCCAACGTCTCAACGGAACTGCGTGCCCGGATCCAACGGTCACTGGATCCGGTTCCGAGAACACAGTATCCTCTCACTCGGACCATCTACGGCGTTGTCATCATTCACATTCACTTTCACATTTGTCGGAAAGGATGCGAACCAATCAGCAGGCGAATCACCAGGAGCAAATATCCTGCTCAAACGAGTCTATTCGGGGCCAATTGCAACCGAATAACTTATTCATGACGGAAGTCGAATCCAAACAAGCAAATCACCGGGATGGAAAGAGTAAAACATCGAAAGATTTGCACAATTCCCATTCGGAAACAGATAATGAGTCGGTAACTACGGAGAATATCGTACGGTACCACTCTGTTCAAACTGAAGGTGAGAAACATTTCCCGGCCTGGGAACAACATCTGCCTTCTACGTGGACTTCTTCCTCGTGCATTCCGGGATACCAGTGCATGTCTGGGAAGAGCATCGTAGCCAATGATCCGGTCCCTAGACCGGAGTTCAGAATGTACTACGAACAGAAATGGTGTTTGGAATCAGTATCTCATCCGAATGCACACGACAGACTGGAAGTATGCCAACCGTTTAGCTATTGGGCGCAACCAGAATTAACTTCGACCGAGAAAACGGGAAACATTTTACCACGGGATAATTTTGATTTAGATCACTTTACTAATTCGCCCGGCGAATGCTTTGAACAAACTAACTTGTTGTTAGACACGTATGGTGCAACCAATCTTGATCAGATGAACTGGTTGAGCACATGTGCGGCGCGATCTTCCAGACAAGGATCGAGTATGAATACCAATTCACCTGAATCATGGAGGGCTTTATCTTATGAGATCTAAATTTTGAAACCTGACCAACTGTATCATATTCCCCAAAACATTTAAAATAAACGCCGATTACGGTTATTGTTAATCCTGTCCGCGAATAGTTCACAGTGGAACAAACCGTTTGAGGTATACTAGGATCTGTAGAATGTCAGTGGCCAATGTTGAATACATACTCATAACAACTGGGAACGAGTTTAAACTTCTACACATTGTAGGAGCCCTTTCAAATAGCAGGTACTTAAAATACGAGAGAAATGAGTCGGAATTTAGTAACCTTTACAAAGTTCAGTTTGACTACTTAATAACTATTAGGTAGTTGAGTGATGATGAGATGAATTCATTTGGCAGATTTGCTCAGATTTGAAAACTCTAGCTGGTAAATGTTAATTTTCATTCGATATTCGAACGCAACCTCAACTTCAATCAGAGCCGATCCTACTGGAAATGAGCTGAGTTTCATTTAAAAAATATTTATTCAAAATTATTAATTTCGTGGCATGTGTACAATTTTTCAACAAAAAAGATCTTTAAAAAGTATTGATCATTTGTGAATAACCAATATTGACATGCGCGAGCCATTCAAGCACACAACTGAGAATCTTCAGCATATCTATCCTCTGTGGATATGGGCACCGGTAAAGACTACTGCACTCATATTTTGCCGCGAAGGAGGGGTGAGTAACAAAACTTCCATAAACAATACCGGAAAAATACGCAGAGGGTGTGAACAAGACATCTAGATGTATGTATTGGAATGATAGATTTGAAGGGCTGTGGAACAAGAAATAAAGCCTGGACATAACTACAAGAAAAAAGAGCACACAAAATAGACATTAGAATAGATTTGAATTCTCTAAGATCAATAACGCTTTAAAATAGCCATCAGATTGCACCAAATCCGAGAAAGTTCCCGATTCCACTTGTCGACCGTCATGAAGCACCACAATGTGATCTATACTGTCCGTATGAGCAAGCTGTTGCGGCACAATAAGCGTAGTGAATCGTCTCATATTCTCCTTTATCGCTTTCAAAACTAACCGCAGATCATCCATGTCGAGATTTTCCAGGACTCGATCGACAAGTAGCAGTTTGGGTCGTCGGAACAGTGCTCTGGCCAAGGCAATGCGACGCCGCTGACCATCGGAAAACTGGAGATCATCCTGTAAGACCACTGTTTCGTAACCCTGTGGAGAGAGTAAGATAGAGTAAAACAGGTTTAGATTGCAGTTGGGGTGGGGAGGGTTTAGCAGTAGATCAACAGACTGAAACAAGATAGGAATAAAGATAATTTTCATTGCAACTATGGGGACAGAATTCACCAAACCATGAAACATCTGCAATCAGAGGAGTGCAGATTCTGTTGTTGTCGTTTTATCCAGTAGGATCATCAGAAAAAGCATTTTTGCGCATATCGCTAGTCACTTACGTTGGAGGTCGATGCAATGGAGGCTTGTCTCACTCAAACCACCAAAGGTTGGCCTCTAATAATGCTTTCCCATAAACAGATGTTCCCGTGTGCCCGAAACACATCTCTTTTTGCGAATCGGGAAGTTAGCTAGAAGAGTCATTCATATGCATACAACACTATTGAAGATTCTGCACCGGATTTTAGCTTCATTGTAAGAGCTTGTTCTATTAGACACGACAACAAAATCGAATCAACGATATTGTGGTAGATTGAATCTGAAGGACGTTCGAAATCTGGAAAACTGAACTTAAAACCTCAAGTGGCTGATATGCCGTAATTTGTTTGGATGATGAATTTGTCGTGTAAATCAGGCGTGAGCTCAAAAGCTGGGAAGCACTGGACAGCTGTTTTGACCTGTTTGGGTTTCATCAGCAATGCGAATCCATTGACTCAACTGGGGATCGAACCCAGGATCTGCAATCAAATCCTCCATCACCATCATGCAGCGAACAATCAGGTCTGGAATGTTTCCAACCGAGACATAACCCCGGAGACTGATGCTGAGATGAGCGAGGTCCGTGGCCCGCAATAAGCTCGTTTGTGCAATATCGTGTACATGAAAAGGAAAAGCGGTCTGATTAGCTTCCTGGTGGCCAACTGGAAAGCATGTTTGCGTTTGTCTGTGAGATCCCGAGTTCGAGTTGGGTCAATAAATTCGCACTGATGATGAGACCCAACCAGGTCGAAACGGTTGTCTAGTGCTTTCCAGCTTTTCAGCTCACGCCTCATTTACACGATGAATTTATCATATGAACGAATCAAATCCTTCGTTACTCTCATGCTGTAATTTGGTTAGAATATTTTTCGATCGCACGCTTACAGTCGCTATATTCGTGGGGACCGGTTCTGTGATTGTTTTGCCATGCTGTCTGAAACTGATCTCACATCGGTTGTTCATTTACCCGCTGAGCTGTTCAGCGTACTCAATGTGAACTCCAGTGTGCGGCACGGAGGATAGCTGGTTGTGAGAGACTCAGAACTACCTGGTAAAACGCCTTAGGTAATCATTTGAGAACACTCTCAAAATATATCGCTATGCTGATGATCTTCAATTTTCTATGACCCCTGAATTATTCGGCACACCCATAGAGTTGTGAGTATATATATATATATATACCACCGGCTTGAAAACAAGCGTGGTGCCAACGCAACAACAATGACAGTGAAGGGGATAGGTGGATTAGGATACAGAACATGGTGAAAAGTGGGTGAGACA